TTTTAACTAAAAAAAATTAGTAGGATGAATTTAATTTCTAGAAATTTCATGGAATTAAGTGTGTGTGTGGCTGGGGGGGACAGATGTAAAAAAAAAAAAATTTTTTACCAAGATTTTATAAAAATAATTTCAAAAGTAAATTCATTCATTTGTGAATAAGTCCTGAAAATTTAATTAAAATCCAACAATTTGATTTTTGTAAGAATTTCCAAATTATTGTGTTATTTTACCAGAAAAGAAGGTGCGAAAATTTCCATTACCAGTTTCGTTACACTGTTGATGCATAAAAAAACAAGATTTCAAAGATGTTATAAAAAAAAACTTGAAAAATAATTAAAAAATACTTTCCTCTTAATAATAACATAAACATTTTGACAATAAAACTTAGTTTTTATTAAGTTTGAGGCCTTTTTTCATCATGCTATGCTCCTTTTTCAGCAAATTATTGGCAGTACCTAGATTTGTGTGCAGTACATCATTGAGGGTTGTTTATATTCTGCACTTTACTCTCACTTTCATTTTTTTTTTCTTTCTTTTTTGTCACAACCCATTTTATTTATCTCACAATCCACTGAAGGGTCAGGACACACAGTTTGAAAAACCCTGAGCTAGATGATGAAAATAACAAAAATGAATGTTGGAGCTTTTGCAGAGCTTGTGCAATGTCAAGACAACAAATGAAATTTTTCTGAGGATTAAGCATGTGTTATTGGAAATAACACATGCTTAATCCTCAGAAAAATTTCATTTGTTGAGAAACTCTTTAGTCCAGTGAAACCAACAATAGGAAAGCATGGAAATTCTGGAGCCTTATTCACTGATACAGAGACAGTTTATCATCTCCATAAACTACAGATTCATTACTTCTTTTTATTGCAGTCAAAAAACTAGGGCATCTTTTATCTTTTCTCTGTGAAATTGACCAAAATTGCTTTGGATGAATGTACAAAAAAAGTTAGTTACACAAAAACAGATTCAGAGATTTTCTATATCTTTTTGACACATGGAAGTAATAATGAATTCTTTGTTCTAATGAAATAACAGTTGTTCATTATGATTACAAATAGCCAAACTCTAAATTGAACAAGCTAATTCAATTATTATGGATAAGCATGATTAATGGATCTGATACAAGGTTTGATAATATCTGTAATGTTATGGATTTTTTTTTTTTTTGTTATTAAGCCTCAGACAGTGAGTAGAAATGACTACATGTATATAAGTAAACTGGATATTAATTACTGGACTTATATGTCATCTAGGAGTCTTTACCTGGCTAGTAGTAGAGAGTCAAAATCTATCTGTGACAAGGATCAGCACAAGGTTAGTCATTACAACAATATCTGAGGACACAAATCTTAGATTGTTGATGCCTTATGGTACAAAATCTTGACATGGGCATTCACAGCTGAAAGAAACATTATTTGCTTTTTACTCAACTATGGAATAAGTCACATCGGGGAAAGATGTTTATGCCTCTTGCAGTAGTTTTTTTTTTTTATTTTTTTTATCCTTTTACCTCAAGCAAAGTGATGATGTCACTAGAACACATGAGGTTACAGGGAGTATAAGAGAATGGAAAAACTGAGAATGGGTAGAATTGAGGAAAGGACAAAAAAAGGAATAGGGTTCAAGAAGATGGAAGATGGTGATTGACGTTGCATTTAAATTTTTGAAGATTGTAGTTATCAGGGAATCAAGAAATTGAGAGGTAGCTCTATAGGTGGGAAGTGCAAGAAAATAAAATTGTTAAGACTAGATGTGGTGGTTGCATCTAGCCAGTTCAACAATAAAACAATCAGACCCTGTTGCCAATCTACTAGCATGTTTAATTTCATGTCATTGGAGCATCAGGGGAAAAAGCTCATTAGAACAGTTGCCATAAAAATATCTGTAGAAAAGACAGAGGGAAGTCACGTCAGATCGGTGAGAAAGTGACTGAAGTCAAGATATCTAGTCAGGAACAATTAAATTACAGAACCTTCTCTGGATTTTGCCAAGAATCTTGAGATGTACTGCAGCTGCACCAGACCAGATATGGCAACAGTATTCAATGCACAAATGAATGGTAGATTTATAAATGTGCAAGATAGATTCTTACAAGAAAAATTTTCTGGCACAATGCAGTGGACCAACTTTTCTAGACAAAGCAATTAATTTGGCATAGTTACTCCACTCATCTTAGTGGAAAAAACAAGGCCAAGAAGGCATAGAGTTGCACACCTAGACTTTGGCATCAGCCATGCAAAGTTCTATGTGGTGATTAAATGGAAACAGTTTTGTTTTAGTGGTGTTAAAATTCACAAGAAAAGTAATGGATCACAAAGGTCTTTCTTTTTTTTCTTTTTTTTTCTTTTCCTATGTCAATAGTTTTAGTAGGAGAATTAAAGGAATTTCTTGTAGAAAGCATTACAGCTTCATTTCAAACTAAACAATGCTCATGTTACAAAACCCACACCCACAAATTGTAAGCATTCTCAATGCTGATGATATTCTGTCATTGTTACACTTGGAATCAGTTTATGGTTTAAGCAATAGATTTACAAGCATTTACGTTAGTCACATACAAAATCAGTGAAGTAGATAAGTATATTATCTTATGTCATTTTTTTTCAATTCATTATTTTTACTGAATGAAAAAATTTTTTATCATAGCCTCCAACAAGGTATGACAATTTATTCAGCTTTTCTAAATCATTAATTAAACACATTGAATGATTTTGAAATGTTGGTTGAATATAGTATAGAAATTCATACCAGATTCAAATGAATGACTCCTTGGGAAAGACTTCTTCATGCTTACAGAGCAGATTTATGATTTATAAAAAATAAAATACCTGGGATACATGAGACTTCAGAAATTACGTGAAGTTATTTTACCAGTTTATTAATATGATCCAAAAGTTTGAATGATACTGCAGAAACATAGATTCACTTCTTAAGGGAATTATACATACCTTAATGTTAGATGTTTACAAAGATAGACTGTTCTCATTCCACTGCTCATGTTTTGGCATATTGTCTACTTCTTATTTTATTTAGTACTGTTCAGTTTTGCTCACCCATTTCCAATGAGTACACACTGCTCGCCCCAGGGATTGAACTATTACCCGCTATGACAGTCTACCCCTGTAGATCAAATAAAGGGTTCATTTCAGAATTCACTGTAGATTACCCAGATCAATATACACCTGAGGTAGGCTATAGGGCACAACCACCAAAAACTTGTGATAAAAACAAGGATGAGGACAATAGTCTGAACATAAACAGTGTAAATAATCTTTCTTTATATGAAATTATGTAGGATCAAAATCTAGTTTTCAAAATCACTAAGTTTGGTTTATATGATGCCGATTGGGATAATTTAAAAAAAATTGATTTTATTACTTCTTGTCACCAAATAGTCTGTTGATATGTTGGAAAAATAAAAAAAGACAAACTTTCACACTATTTCCTTGTGAGAATAAATACATAGCTTTAGCAGCCTCAGCCCAAGAGTCAAAGGTCATAATACAATTACTAAAAGGTATGTTGAACTCTTCTTTAATTGAGTCACTATGCATTGTGACAATAGGAGTACTTTTGCTCTTACAAAGATGTTTGATACAGCATCAGAGATTAAAACATATCAACAGTTAATAAGACTTCATTTGTGCAGAAAGTTGTTATAAATCTTGTATATATTCCATCTGAACAAAATGCATCAGATATGTTCACGAAACCTATAACGAGTTAAACTGAAAAGAGTCAGAACACTCATGCAGTCCCTGCCACCTGAGTTGGGACACACATGCAGCTACCACCACCTGAGTACAGGTATTAGATTTAATGCTCCAGAATTTCAATGCTATATTGTCCAAGAGACACATTGATTAGAGCAGTGGTTATATATATTGGCATATTGGGTTCATTTATGATATTATGGACACCAACATAGTAGAGATGGTTTTTATCTCAGTTTCAAGTGTTTCTTTTTGATAGACCACTAGATAGGTCCTTTTGAAGTGGCATTCATTTTAATCAAAGGATAATATGAAGTAATGGGGTGAATGATGGATTTTTGTAGATCAAGTGCCAACAGACCCAGAAATATTCAGATGCTAGTCTATATTAACAGTGGTGCTTGGGATCAAGGAGAGTACTGGTCTGCCCTTGGCAGGAGACAGATGTGTTTGTGTTGTGGTTCCAAAGCTTCCATTTTAATATTCCCAGCCACCATGTTGAAATGAGTTGATGGGTGAGGAGTTGGTAGGGGGAGGAACTGACATAGCAGAAATTGTCCCCAGTATCACCTACCTACCCACTGGATGAGCAGATGAAGCCCTGAATAAAACATTTATATATTAAGATAAACAGGGTTTGCATTATTTACCAGTGTGGGTTTTTTTTTTCATTGTGTTACCTTGTGAACAGCTCTCAGTGAACACCAATGAGAAACAAATTGGAATACAATATGGGGTGATCATTGGTCATTCGGTGGAAAGCGTGGGCAAGGTTATGTATGTTTACACCCTGTAAGTTCAAACCCTGGGTCTGATATTGCTGAAAAGTTACATACTCTGGTTTAGTGGACGAAACAGACATGCAATACAAAGTTAAATAAAACTGATGATATTTAAACTGATATGGAATATCCCCCCAAAGTAGAGAAATTGGAGTGAGAACAATCTACCCATTTTGAAATTCTAAAAAACTTACAAAGACACAGCTGGAGGAGATCAATGGGTGAAACAGGCAAAATGTGAGTATAACAACCAAAATGAATATGTTGATCTGAAGAGTAAGGCATATGATAATGATTCCTCATCTCACAAATTCCAACAAAAATAGGTATCATAATGGCTACCAGATATGTGGCAAATTTTTACCTTTCTGATAGCTTTTGGTTTGTAAGGATCAAACTCTTCTACAGGTCTGCAAATATTTATTTTTTAGAATGACCCATGTAGATGTTAATTTACCAACACTTTCTGATTGTATTTTTTGTCATTTTCTTTCAGGTATGGCATATGGTTTGCTTGCTCAGTTGCCTCCTATCCATGGTCTGTATGTGTCCTTCTTCCCGGTGTTAATTTACTTCTTTTTTGGAACGTCTAAACATGTTTCTGTTGGTAAGTTCACTCTAATGATTATCAATTATATTTTTTTTCTTCTTTAGATATTTGATTTGTTTTGTATTATTGAGGATTAAACTGTCAAACTTTGAATTTCTAATTCATATATTCAATATTTTTAGCAAAACATTTGGTACACAAGTTTAACACTTTTTCTTCAAGATATCTAATTATTTATTTTACATTTCTTTAAATCAGCATTTAACTGTATTAGCCAATAGTGAATTGATAGCCAATCTTGTGTATTGCAGCTTAAAGATATTACATTTGAGCTTAACGATACCTATATGATTTCAAATCCTTATGCATCAGGTTTCTTTAATCTCACATAAAAATAACTTTCTCTAGTCTAATCAACATCAAGTTTAATTCAAGAAGGTTTAATGTTGTCGGCTGTATATTTTTGTAAGAGCTTGTTTGCTCTGTTAGTTTAGGGTATTTAATGTATTTTTGTTTTTGTTTAGTTCTTTTTCTTTCTTTCTTTCTTTTTTTTAAATATAACACTTTCCTTTCCTCCCCACTCTTTTACACACATATTGATTACTTGCTTAACACTTTCACTATTGCATTGTTATCACATTGTCACCTGGCTGTACTGGTCCATTTGGGTATAAATTAGAAATTACTCTTTATCAGAAATGCCTTATCAACAAGTAAAACACAGTAAATCATTGAAATTCCCCATTATTACTCCTTGAACTATTATCTACTATTTTTCACAAAAAGATCACAGAAATCAATTTTATTTGTTAATTCATTATAAAAAAGAATGATAACAGATAGTACACTATCCTTACCTTTTTCACATGTATGGCCAATGTAAGAATTTAATGTTCTTTTTTGATTATTAGTATTGGAGATATAATCTAAAAGGTATGAGAATATCAGAACAAACATTATTTTTGTATAGGGTGTATTTTTTTTTATTTCAATAAATTCTTGCTGCCTAAATACCCCTCATATATATATATATATATATATATATATATATATTTAAAAATTATAAAATAAACATGTTATAACATCACTACAAAAATAGCAATTTTGTTTAAACACTTCTCGTGTCTTGTCAAGTGATGGTGTTTAATTTGTGTATGTATGTATGTATGTATATATATATATATATATATATATATATATATATATATATATATATATGGATATTGAGTTCTACCTGGATTCTATCCTCTTGGAATTATTTTTTTATACAAATATATGTGTATATATGTATATATATTTATATATTTTAAATATGATTGCATATGTATGTGTATATTTACCACTAATATCATATATATATATATATATATATATATATATATATATATATATATATATATATATATATATATATATATGAAGAAATGAAGTTGCTTCAATTCTTAAAAAGAATTGGAGGTTGAATATAACTTGTAAATCTTTCTCTCTCTTTTTATTGTTGATAACCTTTTGTGTAGAAAAATCCTAAATTTTATTTTTTAATAACATTTAGTTTTTGGGGTTTTTTTTTTTATGTAAAATAGAATTCTCTTTCTCTCTCAAACACACATTCATCTTAATTCTGTCTCAATTTCAGGTACATTTGCTGTTGTCTGTCTGATGGTTGGGGCAGTGGTTGACAAAGGTTATTCTCAATATAGGAGCCATGAAAATGTAGACTTAGTCACCAATACCTCTACCACAACTACCACAACCACTACGCTAATGACCAGTGGGACATTATTCACAAATGCTATGAACAGTTCTACCACAATGTCTACTCCAAGTACAGATGCTGATACAATAAAACTTGGATTTGCTATGGCTGTCACTTTCCTTGTTGGATGCATACAGGTACAGTCATCAAAGAATTTTAAAAACCTTTTTATTTTATCCCTTTCAAACAGTTTGACAAATGAAAATGGATATAAATCCCAACATGATACATTCTTAAAGAACTACTCTGAGGTCTCTAATATAAGAAGTTGCGTACTTAATAATCAGAATAGTGTGGTTTGTAATTTTTCTTTATATGCAATAAACAGGGTGGGTATTAATAAAAGGTGTGGGTAGGAAATCATTCAAAGGGGCAAAAAGTGTAAAATTAATAAACCATGTGGTCTTAATTAGCTCCAAGTGGGGATCAGAAAATTTCCTCAAAAAATATCCCGCCTCCATATGTATTACATACTTCTGGCCTCTTGTAAAACAGGGCCAAGGATGCTCTTTTTTTGCTCATTTTCATCATTAATCCTTCATCTTATTTGCACTTCAATGTTATACTTCATAATTCTCTCCATTTTTCTTTTTGGTTCATTAATTGTATTTATGCATTCATATTTATGTATTTCCATAAGCAAGGAATCACTTCTAAGGATAATGTTCTAAGGAAGTTGTGACTAAACACTGATATCCTAATAATTCTTTTACACTTGCATCCTCATCTGCACACAGCCCTAATCTGATACATGAATGAAATCAATTAAGAAAATTTCGTCTTAATGGAGTTGAAATATAGATATAAGGTTGTCATGAATAATTTCCATTTTCATTCTTCAAAAAATAAATTTTATTCAGTTCTATATTCACCATTTTTACAATGATTTTTTTTGACTAATCAAACAGTTCTTTGATAACTTTTGAGTAGAATTCCACAGGTTTTGGTGTGGAAATGTTTTCAATGAACTTTTTAATTTGGTTTTTATCAGAGAAAATTATCCCCATCAAAATGTTTTACAATTGAAAAAGGTAATAATCATTTTGGGGCAAAGTCAGCCGAATATAGCAAGTGGGATAGAACAGACCAACCAAATTCCCAAATTGATTCCTTTGTTATTCTTGCCATATGCAGCCTGGAATTGTCATGGAAGAGAACAATATTTTACCAGTTAACAAGTGAAGGACACTTTTTAACCAAATAATCGGTTTGTGCAAAGTCAGTTGAATATGGCAAGTGGGGTAGAACAGACCAACCAAGTTCCCAAACTGTTTCTTGTCTTACTCTTACTGTATACAGCCTTGAGTTGTCATGGAGGAGGACATTTTTTTTTTACTCTTGACAATTGCAGGGAACTTTTTAACCAAATTTCTATGGACACATTGCAGCTGCTAGACATATAAATGTGCATTTAGTGTTTAATGGCATCTTTTTTTTTATTTTAAAACCTGTAACTCTATTGGAGTCATAGGGGCACCACATGTCATGCTGTAGTAGCAGTGGTGTTTCCTGGGCAAGATAGCCTGATAGGGCCTAATCCTCTCCAAGCTGGTTTTGCATTCTGTTTTTCCTTCTAGACTGGTTGCCACCCAAGACTATAGGACCTAGTCTGTCCTGCTAATTTCATTGGAGGGGTATGATTAAAATATCTCAATAATAAGAGGAGAGAAAGAGTAAGACTGATTTTGGAGAAAAGAATCTCATGAAACATCAACAAGGAAAACTTACCAACCAAGAAATCATTTCTAATCTGGATAAATGGTAGAGAAAAAAATGTTATTTACAAATTATAGCAAATGCACTTAACTCCAAATGATGAAATAGATTTTGATAGTTAAAATAAAAAAAAATTTTCTTCATTCATCATAATAAATTGGATTTCCAATGAAGTTTGAATCAAGTGGTATTATGAAACATTTTTTGTAATTTGATTGACTACTATTGTTGTTTGTGTCTAATCTATTTACATGAAAATATCAGTTTCGACAAAATAATTGTTTGTATTTTCCTACTGAAAATTAATAATGTATAATGTAAAATTATTTACACTATTTACATTCAGACTATTGTCCTCATCTTTGTTGTTGTTATCACAATATATTTTAATTTGTAACGAGTTAGATTGTTTTTGTTCGATTGTCCATGTCTAGGGATATCTTGTTTAGTCCTTATTTTTATTACTGCTCAGTTATTACTCACCCTGTATAATGTAGAAGTAAAAGAAACACCTATAAATGATGGTGAGCTATATTTTACATATTTTGAATATTGTATTGTTTTGTTTCTTCTTTTATCTGACTTTGTGAATAAGATATTTGGAAATTTAAATTTACTTATAAATTTGCAGTTGCTTATGGGTGTCTTCCGCCTGGGCTTTGTAACCACATTCTTGTCTGATCCTTTGGTTAGTGGTTTTACTACAGGAGCTGCTTGTCATGTATTCACCAGCCAAATCAAGCACATCTTTGGAATCCAAATGGGCCGTTACTCTGGACCTTTTAAACTCATTTACGTAAGTAATTAGCTGCAATTTCATTTTCTTTGTTATTATAATTGAACAATTAAGTAAAGAGACAAAATCAGTTGCTGATACTTTTCCCTTCTTTTATATTTCACTATATTTTTTGTTTTATGTATCTATCTCTCTTACTCAATTACTTTGTTATAAACAGACATACACAAGAATATGTGTTACTTTTTCATGCCCTCAATCAATTCATGTATATCATTGTACAGTTTGAAATTCTCTAATCAAACTCCTTCCCAGTCTTTTGAACAGGAGTAGAGGTTTATCCCTTGTTCTTGTTTAGGATTGGGATTCCAGTTCCTTCTAAATTTTACTTCAACTCTATATTTCAAATGTATCCATCTAAACTTTAAAATTTATATTATTATTGGGATTCCAGTTCCTTCTAAAGTCTTTCACTTCCAGTAGACTTATGTATCTTAGTGACATTATTGACTTGTTTGAGGTGAATTGATTAAAAAAAAAAAAAAAATAATTACACTTTATCTACTGGTGTTAGAAGACAAAGTAAAAAGCAAAAATTTGAATGGAAAAAAAAAAAACTGTTACATACTTAGAATCAGAAAAACAGTTGAAATTTGTGGAACACATAATGAGGAAAGTAGGTTTGGAGGATTTGACACTCATAGGACATACTTAAGGCAAGACAGAGGTAAAACTGTGAGTAACCTACCTAATGAGCTTGTTTGTGTAAATGGATGGCAGAACATTGAGGAAGAGGAATAACAAAAAGAAAAGACAAACATTGCTAAGAGCTATAAAGGATATATATGTGCAAGGAAATTAGCAGAAGTCCCCAGGCACACCAATTTATACACATACAAAAAAGAAACTACGACTGAATGAAGAAAAGTAATAAGGTTTAAAATATGTTGGAAATTGTCAGCGTTTAGCAGCGTTCATTTTATGTAGAGCCCACGTATAGAAACTGTCCTTCTACTACTTTTTCTTAGAACTAATAAAACTAAAACATCATACTGAGGGTAACAAGTGGAGAGCCATAATTGCCCATGTCTTGACAGAACAAGGCACATTGAAGAGGAATATCCTTTATCACATCAAGTGGATCGATCACATCAAGAATATTCTTTATCACATCTGTAACAGCAGTCTAAGCTTTAACAAAACAAAAAAGGTAGAAGTGACAAAACAACAAATAAAGATACCGCATGGTTGAGATAAGTAAAAGGGTTTTTATTTCCCATGATCTACAAGGTTCAATCGTTTGCTTGTTCCGGGATATCATATAAGTCACAAGAGAATGAAAGTTCACTACACAAGGTAGTCATTGATAGATACACATGGAGAAAATCATCATGCATATGTAGTTGAGTGAGATAGACTTGGGGGTGAAATATTCCATGAATTATTACATTGTAGTAGTCGTGAGTTAGTTTCTGCTGCTGCTGGTTTCATTGCTGGCAGAAGGCATCACTGTTGATGGCAACATCTTGGTGTCACCGCTGATGGTCAAGTTAAGCTTGCCTGCCAAAGGGTCCATCATGAATGCCAATTTGGTTGGATCTGCCTTCATGGGTAAAATCGGTGTTGGCATTATAGTGAGTCAGTGATTCCGAAATAGCTGCTGTGAAAACTTGCATGGGCTTTTTTTCTGAAAGAAGTTTTATGATACTGATATTTTTGGACAGTCTTGCAGAAGTGGATGCATGAAGCCAAACAAAATTAAAGTCTTTCTTTTTTGCCCGATGAGCTGTGGATGTTGAAGTGAGAACTTCTGTTTCAGTTAAAGAATTGAAGTTCCAACAAGGTAGCTCAGATCCATTATGTCATCTCCATTCTCTCTCTTCCAATCTGATCATGTGCTAACATAATTTTCATAAATATCAGTTTCACCATTTTCAAATCTGTAATTGTGTAAAATAAGTTATCAAAAAGACCAGTACATGACCCCATCAGAAACAGAGCACTTATGCTATATTATGAAAAGCTGCATTTAAAAAGGATGCCAATTATTATTCATGTTTTTGTAAAAAACCCAGATGTTAATCCCCCCAAAATAACGTCTTATATAAAAACACAATTTTACATTGACAAAACTATTTTACTGTCTTGATTTATTCTCATCTGATATTTTACTTCATATCATGACTATTGATTGATAATTGTTACTTTTCACAAAAAAAACAGTTTTGCTTCATTAAATTTTGCTACTTATTTTATTTCAGTCATATATTGATGTCTTTAGCAACATTTCTCAAACGAATTTGGTTACTTTTGGAATGTCTGCTGTTTCTGTTTTAATCATTGCCTTGGTGAAGGAACTCATCAATAACAACCCAAAAATAAAGCCGAAATTGAAAATGCCTGTGCCTATTGAACTTGTAATGGTGAGTAACAGATATATTTTTTTCTTTTTAATTTGTCATTATTTTATGAAAGTTGATTTTTATGAATTTTGACTTCAGTAAAGCATTTACTTCCTGCTGTCTATTTAGGCCATTTGCATGATCTGTTTGATTGATTCTGTTTGTTTTTTACAGCTTATCAACCCTTTCTGGATTATTTAAAGCCAAAGCATATTTAGAGTTGTAAGAATAATTCTTTTTGCAATAACAATTTTTGGAGAATAACAATGATTTTTCCAGTTAAGGTCCTGGTATTTAACCCATGGCTGGTGGGGGAGATGAATTCATACATTTCTTAAGGGTATTTGTACATAGTGAATGTAGCAAAGTTAACTGGAATTCGGACTCAGCTCTCTGATTTCTCATTCCAAGAGGCTACCCATTACACCATCTGCACATTCTTGCGTGATCTAGCATTTTATTTTTAATTTATTTTATTTATTCTTGTCATTTTGCAATGCACAAGGAAATTAGTAGCAGTCCCCAGGCACACCAATTCATACACATACAAAAAAAAAACTACGACTGAATGAAGAAAAGTAATAAGGTTTAAAATATGTTGGAAATTGTCAGCGTTTAGCAGCGTTCATTTTATGTAGAGCCCACGTATAGAAGCTGTCCTTCGACTGCTTTTTCTTAGAACTAATAAAACTAAAACATCATACTGAGGATAACAAGTGGTATCCAAGATTTCATTCTGCCTTCTGTTGTGACATTGAGAATTATAAATGTCCTCCAAGGAGAGCAGTGAGCAGCTGATTATTTTCTGGACAACATCCATAATCCTCTTTGGAGGACTTTCTTAATTCAACATTTAATGCAGTATACCTATGTTCATTTTATGTGGGCATGTGGATAGATCATTAGAACATTAGTGTTCCAACCATGAGGCCCAGGTTCAAATCTTGCCATAGTTGATTTCTTGATAATATCAGCCTGAGAGCCTCTGATTAAGATTAAAAGGACTCTCAAAAGTTTTACCACTTTAGGTATAAGTTCGAAAATTATACCATTGAATTTCCAAGAGATATAGACAAAGTATATTCAAACCTTGAATTAAAAAGTGTCTGTAAATATAATAAACCAAAATGTGTATACTAGTCTGAATGAAATAGTATATAATATTACATTTCTGTTTTATTTTTTATTCTATTTTCTATTAACTGAAGTTCAAAATTTACCATGATTGCTTTTGTCAAGAGATAGCCTGGGGAAATGATCCCAGCATGTAACACCATTGGGAAGTGCCTGGTTGACCCAAGTCTTGTGAGTGAAATTGGATAGACAAAACTATTTAGAAAATATTGTTGGTTGTTCTAGCACAAGACATCCTAACTGAGGGTTTGAGTGTACTGACCTTGATTAACTACTGACCACATCAGATTATGTACTCCTTCCCAGAAACTGTAACTAAGGTCTGCTCAATGTAATTGCAGTATAAACCAAGGGTTGGCTTTGTGGGTATTGAAGAAACACAAAATGTAGCTGAGAAGACATCTACAACAGGGATTAGCTAGCCACTCTAGCAAACCCATTGTCTGAGAGACACCTACTTAAATTCATTCTGTACAATTCTGTAGAACTTGTCTTGTTTTGATACTTGTTTCATAAATATATGGATAGTGTAATGGATAGTGGCTCTGTATGAGAAATTAGAGAACCAAGTTCAAATTCCAGTTGGGTTTGTTACATTATCTTGAGAAAGGTATGTATTCATCTCCACCCAACAGCTATGGGCTAAATAGTAGGTCTTATTTCTTGAAAAGTCATTTTTACTCACAAAATATTGTTAATGCAATACTCACATGTAAAATAAATATATTCTGTCAATCCAAAATGTTTCAGCTTTGAATAGCCTACAAAAGGTTGATAAGTCATAATAAACAAATCAATCAATACTTGGTTCACATCAAGGCTGTAACACAATGAAGAATATTAAACAAATTTATGCATCTAAATTCAGACTAGCTATAATTTTTGTTCAGTAAGACCTTAATAAAAAAAGTCATGTTTACTTTATACAATGATGTTCTTACTTTCCTTCATAAATGTGAAAATACACCTGAGTACATTCCAGTTGCAGTAACATATGTCATTGTAAAATTACAATATTTTCAGACATTTCTCAAAGTAGTAATTATTTAGCAAAGTAAAATAAAAATATCTTTGTTTACTGTGAACAAATTATAATCAACTTATAGTGAATGAATATTTTTAATAAATATAGTTTAATATTACAAAACAGTTACTGAAACAGGTACACAAATACACAATTTGCAATTGATTTTATTAAATTTTTATAGCCCTCTAAATTTCCCCAAGTTTATTAGTGTTGCATTATGAAACCTTGTTCCATATTGGGCTTTATGGCTTTATCATTTTTTTTCTATTTTCTATCAACACTTGTTGTATGCCCCACTTCCCAAATAGTGTTATCTACAATTATTATATTTCACACTGTGTTCATAAGTAGCTTTCTATTATACATACAATAATACTTTTCTTTTGTCAAATGTTCCTAACATGGGCCTTCCAAAGTTCCTTTTTTTTTTTTTTTTTTAACCTTTGCTTGTCTCACTCTATCTCTCTCTCCCCCTCTCTGACTGTGTGATGAAAGTGAGACAAATTTATAACCACCTATTGTTTTGTTGTTTTTTTTTTTTAATGCAGTGTGGGCTGATTGACCAAGATCACCCACATCATACTCATTAAATTGGCTATCACACTTTTCTTAAGAAAAAAACAAATCTCAAACCAATCACAAATATAAAAGTAATATTTCACAGGTTAATCAAACATTTCTTCATCTGAATCAAAAACAATGGAGAATGGCAGTAAATGTGTTTTTAAATAATAAATATGGATGATGATGATTCTTCTTCTTATTATTATTATCATCATCATCATCATCCTCCTCCATATTTTAGAATTTATTTTAGTCTCTCCTCCTGATCTTCAATAACATTTTATTTTACTAATCATAAATAATCTCTTTGTAACTTAATGCAAAATTATTGGATAAACATAACTACATTTTGTAAGAACTTGACAATAAACATTTTTTATACATATTCTAAAGTAGATTTTTTTCTTCGTGTAAATTGTGTAGATTAACTTATCTATAAAAGTTATTTATTGCAGGTTATCCTTGGAACTGTGATCTCATACTTTCTTAAACTTAATGATTCCCACCATGTACGCATTGTCGGAAAAATTGCTACTGGGTAAGAAATAGAATTTGTTATTATTTTCTTACTGATAATTTATGTAAAAATTTGTCTATTCCTTTTCTTCTAAGTTAGAGCATCTTTTATTTTACATTGGTAACAAAATCTAGAAATAAATATTTTATGATACATTAAGTTCTGTTAGCCAAGCCAAATATATAATTCCACATATATACAATAGGAAATATTTCAATCTAAAATTCAGTTAATAAAGAAAGAACATGTAATTAATGACACTAAAAGTAATTAATGACACATCATTTTAGAAAGTCCTGCTTTGAGTAAAAATAATTTTGTATTCTGTTTATTAAATGCTGAATAATGTGCATTACTTTTTGCAATTGTGAGTCTGTATTTCAATCAATAATTTTTCAATGTCTCAATCTGATTCTTGGTGATTAATCTGCCATAATCTGCAGATCTAATATAATCTAATACACACAATGATGTTAGATTAAGAATATCTAGGTAGTAGAAAAATTTTGAGGTGTGGTTACCATTTACTTGACATGATTAGTAATAGTAATTTATTGCTTGCTTACTAAGTACACATTTTTCTTCTTTTTTTTTTTACTCAAAACACTTAGATTAAATTTCCTAAACAACAATGGCAAAATTAATATCCTGTTCAAATAAAAAAACAAAAATAATAAATAAAATGCCCATAATTTCTTTAAGTATGACAAGTTAGTTTATAGATGTAGTGATAACAATTCAAGAAATCTATCACTTGGTTTGCTGATTTGCACATGAAACTCAAACACATACTGAAGCTTACCTATTACTGGGTAAACAAAGTAGCTCTAGAATTTGTGCAGAGGGAACATAGGTAGTTTGAAAACACTTATTTACTGGTACATTTTTACTAGGGAAGTTTGTGTGAAAATTATAGAACACAACATTGAGGAGAAGGTATAGTTTTTATTTGAACATGATATTAATTTTGTCAATGTTGTTTAGGAAATTTCATTCAGTTGTTTCACATAAAAAACAAATTACTTGGTAAGCGGTTGTAAATCACTATTGTCTTTCTTAAGTATATCCAGTAAACAGTCATCAAGTCAATTTTGGTGGTATCCATGATATATAGCCATAGGATGATTGAAGGATTGCCAAGATATTTTAGTTTTAATGGAGATTGCTTGTCCATATGAAAAGATAGATATCTGTGTATGTTGTGATTTTCCAAGCATAGCTTAGATGTGGCACAAGGCCAAACGTATGGGGGCACCCAGTTAGGATCAAACTCACTACTCAGTCATAATTGTTCTAGCAAGACAAGCTTACTAACCATTACACCACCTCAAGGTGCCCAAAATCTGTGTATATATGTAGGGGCTAATAACTGGCTATTTTCTGATATGAATTTTATTTGCTTTAGATTCAATTTTTTAAAATGCCTCCTCATTGAAATAATAATTGCTCTAAGTCTTGTCTTTCTATTTTGATGTAGATTAAAAAATACATTACATGCTTTTCTATTTGGATCAGTATACTCATTTTAGTTGTTGTTGTACCCTGGTGCTTTATTCAGGTGTCTGTTTTCATAACTGGTAATATTCTTGAAATTTCAAACCAAACCCATTATTCAATTATAGAAGTAGATTGTTCTCATTCTGCTTTCTATTCTTACCTGTTTTATTCACTTTTGTGTTGATTGTTTCTTCCACTGAACCAGAGTATGTGATTTCCCATCATTCATAGTGTTAAGAAAAGAATTGTCCACTGCCTACAACATTGGACCAAACTCATAAGTGGTGATCCAGCACATACCAACAGGAGATGATTAGCATTAGAAAAAAGCAGGGCAACAATTTCTATGCAAGCATAACATCAGCTTCCATGCAAAGGGACAGAAGAATCAATGACAACAATCTGCCCCAGTCTGTCTGCCGTAAGGAGTACATCTGAAAATATTCAAAGGATCTACAGTTCATTCAACATAAGGACAGTATTCAGCAGTTCAACTCTTCAAAGATATCTCTCCTGAACCAAGCCACCACACTCAGAAGAAAACATAATCAAGAACTGTGTGTATTTTATCCTATGCAGTTGTTGCAAGGAGTACAAAAAGGGACTAACTGCCTAATAGAAGTAAGAATGGAAGAACATTGAAAATCTCTCAAGGAGAGGAACATTGAAATCGGGCATGGCTGATCATATATGTGAAAGAAAGTCAAGGTAATAGACAATCAACATCACTGGAGGTTAAGATGACTGTAAGAATCAGCTCATGTTAAGCACTAACATCCTCAATAGACCTAGCACAGAGATGAATGCTATCTGGTAACCTCTGATTAAGAAATATTCACCATCTGAGTCATAACATTAATAAAAATGTTATGTTTACTTTATACAATGATGTGCTTACTTAATATTACACTTCCCTTCATAAATGTGAAAATATACCTCAGTACATTCTAGTTGCAGTAACATTTGTCAATGTAAAATTACAATTTTTGCATGCATTTCTTGAATTAATAAGGATGTAGCAAAGTAAAATAAAAATATATTTATATACTATGATCAAATTATAATCAACTCCTAATGAATATCCTTATTAAATATAGTTTAATATACAGTCTTATCACCATCTGAGTCAGGACACTTTAGAGGACTAAAGGATTGGTACTGATTCCTTGGCAGTGGTACTGCTAAGTATTAACTAATATAAAATAAACCAGAATGAGAACAATCTAACCCTGTCAATTGAATAAAGGGTTTGGTTTGAAATTCCAGGTATGAAAAACCTAGAGGGTACAACAATACAATCAAGATGAGCATGCTGATCCAAATAACAAAGAATATATTAATCATAATTTCTTATCTTAAAAAAAAAAAAAAAAAACCTAAAGAAAATAAACTTGTGAGAATGCCTGAAAGATGATATTGACTTTTTGTTACTTTTCAGAATCCCTACCCCGTTACCTCCTCCTTTCAGTCTTCTCAGGGAGGTTGTCACTGATGCAATTGCAATTGCCATTGTTGCCTTCGCCATTAATGTATCCATGTGCAAGATCCTTGCAAAGAAACATGATTATGAAATCGACCCCAATCAGGTAAATGAAATTTCAATATTTCTCACAGTTCTGTCATTTTGTGGAAACCAAATAACATTTGAGTTTTATCTTTTGGATTTCATTTTTGTTTTTCTGTGTATAATTTATGAGCTAATACACTTGGGAAAGGTATGAATCCAATTCTTCTTCCCCCAGCTATGGGTAAATAGCAGGACAGACCAGGTTCTATAGCCTTGGATTGCACTTGGTCTATTGCAGAAAGAAATGGCAATCTACTGTGGGGAAAATCTGCCTTGTCAGTCATGTATCAAAAGATACATGATCGTCTAAGCGTGCATCATGCATGGCACATAACTAACTGACTGACTGACTGTGTATAATTTCAAATGCTTACACTTATGCTTCTAAATAATTTTCTTCAGACCTTTATAGAAGAAAAAAAACATTATCATGTCTTCATGGCACATGCTTTTTGGCGGGGAATGCTACACTTAAAAAGAACACTCATTCATGTATTTGTAAAAAAAAAAAAAAAGTAACACTTTATACATCTTATAAACACAGTTGTACATTAACAAAACTATTTAATTATGTCTTGATATATTCTCATTTGCTTGTTACTTTTCTGTATTTTACGACTATGAAATTAGCTTAATATCAGAGAAAACGTTTATAAACTATATTCAATTATAAATTTCTGTCTAATTGAATAGTCATCATAACCATCATCCTTCAACCTCCCTGTGGTTGGTTGGAACTCCATTGATAATCCCTTTCCACACTACCCGGTCTTCTATTGCTGTCCCCAGATCCCCAATGTCCAACCCTGAGTCCCATGCTATGGTGTCTGGGAAAGTCAATTTTCATGAGAAGACACTTCCGGAGGGATGCCATCGGAGTAAGGATGAGATGATTTCCCTGTCTGCTCAGTGCTAGTGGCTGGCAAACTGTAATGGTTTTTTTTTTTTTTTTTTAATTTTTTTAAAAATTTTTTTTGTGATCAGGCAGCCTGATGATTAATGTCCAGCATGAGACAGCCTGTCGCCTCTGAGTGTTGACTTCAATGTTCACTTTTATATTTATATTTGCATACACTCTATCTCTGATATTGAGCACTTTATCCCATAAATATAGTACACCTTAAAGCTTTCTTCATATATATATATATATATATATATATATATATATATATATATATATATATATATATATAGTCATATCATGTTGAAACACCTGTTCTTGTACAATCACTGAGGTGAGACTGGTTAAATCTAAATCATTGAGACTGGTTAAATCTAAATGGGTGGCAACTTGGGAATATCAGATGCTGTAAGCTTGTATGTGTGGGTGATGAAATGGTTAATGGCTCAAAATTGGAAATTGGAGAGCTGAGTTCCAATGTTGGTTATATTCAGTTACATGCAAATACTCTTGGGGAAAAGTATGAATCCGCTTCTTTTCCTCCCAGCTCTGGGTTAATTAGTAGGACTTGTATCAGCAAATCATTATCTCCCAAACATTCTTACAGTTTAAAAATAGTTTTTGGCTTTAAATAATCTGCAAAAGGTTGATAAACTGTAAAAAAAATCTCTCTCTCCTTCTCTCATATGCTTGGGCACGTTCACTGATGTTTCATAGAAATTGGATAGCTTCTTCAGTGGTTACTTTTTGATTCCACCAGTTGAATACTGAATTCTATTATTTTCATTTGTAGAGACAGTGAAGCATTCATACTCTGACACTTTAGTTCATAACTGTCACCAGATGGCAAAATCTAGTTTTGCTTTCAAGTATGTTTGGCAATTAATCATTAATAACAAAGCTGCAGTGTTTAAAGCAAACATTAGCTAAGCACACAACATCCAGTAACTAAAGTATCATTTTACATCAAAGTAGTCTGTTTGTATCTTAGAATGACACAGCTTAATAATGGGTCAATAAATCTTGTTGCTTCTGCATAAGCTTACCATATGCCCTGGGGGTGGGAATCTGTCTCCAACTCTTGTTGTTATAAAATGTCAGTATTTTTGTGTATGTATCAACTGAGATATTTGAGGGTTACTGGGTCAGGAAAAAACACTAATATACCAGAAAACTAAAACTATAATAAAAATTAAAACCTGTTTGTGGTTTGAAAATATAGTAAACCTATTTACATTATTTATATGCAGACTATTGTCCCCATCTTTGTTGTTATCGCAACGTTACAACCATTGTACCCTCGGGTGATTTTCAAACCATTGGGCTAACAACAAAGATGAGGAAAATAGTCTGTGTGTAAAAAAAAATAAATAATGATAATTCTTCATCCAAGACAAATATTAAACCAAATTCTATATTATTTCTCAAGTAGAATTCTTCAGAGTAATTGACTTTCAGGGAAGTCTTTGATAGTGACTTTTTTCTCCATCTTAAAATTAAATATTTTCTGCTTTTATCAATTTCATTTCTGGTTTTAGTAGACATCAAATCTATAAATGGAATGAGGCAAATAAATCAACTTATGAGATTCAAATCTAAATCTGCTTCATTTCACACCTGATTCTTCAGTTAATCCTTCCTTATATTTTAGTATTTTGGTTCTTGAAAGTTCTGGTCCCATTAATTCAAAAATGCTTCAAATTTAACATAATCTTAACTTTGTATGGATGACTGTCAGTAGTTGTATGGAATGAGAAATTGGAGAGCCAAATTCAAATTTCATTTGAGTTTGTTATATTCACTTATGCACAAATACCCTTGGGAATGGTATGAATTCTTCTCTTCTCCTCCCAAATATGGATTAAATAGCAGGACAGACTGGATCCTTTAACCTTTGCTGACAAATATTCTCCTGCATAAAGTAACGGCTACCTACTGCAGGAATTTTTTTACCACCCCAGTTATGAAATGAAAAGAGATATGATTACCCAAATATGTATGTCATCTAAGGAAGGATATATTTTGAACCAATGCTAGTTTTTCCATGTATTCTCTTTGTAAGCTATCAATTCAAACGTTCATTCATACTTAATATTTGATTGAGTTATTTCATACTATTTTTTGTTTTTGTTTTAGGAATTGCTTGCTTATGCCTTTTGCAACATCTTCAGTTCCTTCTTCTCTGCTTTCTGCAGTGCAGTCTCTCTCTCCAGAAGTTTAGTTCAAGAGAATGCTGGTGCCAGAACTCAGGTCTGTATTGATTCTTGTTTTCCATTTATATTATTAACATTTTTACTAATTTATAAGTTTGTGGGCTTGCTTTACAAAACAAGTTTCCATGAATTTGCAGAAACATCTTATGTAAACTGTACATTAATGCAAAAAAGCAAATACATGTCTGAATCTATGAATTGTTTTTTTTCTAATGAAAATATTGAACACTATTTGCTGGATGTTCGAAATACACTAGTAACATATTAGCTAATATAAGTGATCACTTAGTGCTGAACTGCTTGCAAGCAGGATTGAAACTGTGCCTACAAGTATCATCTTCAACCTACCATTTTTACCTCAATATCATTACAGTTCCTTGGTAATTAAAAAGCCTTTGAGACTGTGTAATGACAGTTTTATTTTTTTGTTAATGCAACCCATGTATGACCAGTTCCTCTTCTTTAAACATAAGGTTCCATGCAGGTGAAAAGATAGCAAGATCCCTATATTTTTATATTGGAGTTATCCTTTCCTAAAAAGTTGACCATTCTAGATTGAAGAGTTATTTGCCTCTCCACTGAAATATGACAACCCGTTTAGAATTTCATATAGCATAAGCTCCTGCCAGTGGGCAGTATAAGCTATTGACAAGGTGACATAGTAACATAGCCTTCCAAATGACTTACCATTCTGAAGAAGCCTGCAGAACGAGTGCTGGTGGGGAAAACCTGCAATTGCTTGGCTTTTCGCTTGCAGTTGCACTGTAGCAGAACTCATCCTGGCAAGGTGTCATCAACATCCCTGAAACAGACAAAAACACTCTTCTCTGTCTTTTTTTGCAAAGCTATATTTTAATACATTTAGTGTAGAAATTGAATTTATTTATTTGACTTAGCAGTACATGCAACAGCAATCTATGTAGCCTTTTGGTAAGAAACAAAATCCACTGATTTCATATGAGAAAGTGACAAAGTATACATACCATCTTGTCAACAATGATGCTAATAATCTTGGAGTGAACTTAAAGTGTTATTAAATATGGAAGAGTGCGTAATAAATACCAAACAAAATTAATAAATACATATTAACTCCAGTTTCTTATCTGTTTCAAATAAATTCTAATCATCTTTTTACTCATCTTTTCAGGTGACAGGCTTGGTCTCGTCTATATTGATCCTCATTGTACTCCTTGTAGTAGGTCCATTATTTGAGACTCTACCAAATGTAAGTTAACATTCCTGAAATGATTACTCTTAGGTGCCCGATAGAAGGATGGGAGGATTTATTTTTTTCCACAAAATATTCTAAACCCTGTCTTGATCACCCCATTTATTAATTTCACACTTTTTATTCTTTAAATGATTTTCCAACTTCCTTTTAAAATTAAGATCCTTGGTTTATTGCATGTTGAGAAAAATCTCTATCTCTCCCACCAATTGTATTTGGCACCTAAGGTTTTTTTTGTAATGTGTGTGTGTATATATAGATCCCCCTGAAAAAATGAAGACATTCTACATATATATATATATATATATATATATATATATAATCTGTGCTAATAGGAATATATACTTGAAAAACAAAGTGGATAAAGTAATTAAAGGTTTATTGTAAAAATAAGTACAATTAGAATAAAGGTAACAGTTATGCACAAGGTCATCACAAGTCAATCCAGTAGTGAGTACTACTATTGGAAGGTCGGTAGTTCTTGCATAAGTCAGAGTTGTACTCAACATATCCCAGTTAGTAGATATTTACCAGCCTCCCTTAGGATGTGGCACAAGGCTGCATTTAATGTGGGGTAATCTGAGCCCGTAGGCTCAGCCAAAACTTCCCCGTAGACACCATATCAAACAGAGTCGGGTAGCTGTTTCCCGAGACAAGACTCTGTCCTTCGACATAGACTCGTCTGGGGATCCTCTCTGCCCAGAAGCAGAGAGTTTGACCAGCACAGCTGGAAAAGATTCCAGCTAGTGTATTTACTAACCTTAATAAAATTTACTTCCTTACTTTCAAGACACTATAAATTTTTTAATCTAACTTTTCATTTACCAATATTTGACTTATAAACAAATGATTGATTTGTTCCACAAAATATTTGATTACCATCTATAATCATGTATAAGACAACTTCATCTATAGTGCAACCTCTGAATTTTTCGGCCTGAATTTTATCCCTACAGAAAAAATTTACCTGTATGGTGCAAATGGTCACCAAAAATGTGAGAGTTTTAACCTCTTCAAAAAATTACCTGTGTATAGTGTGACCCCCTATTTTTGGCATAAAAACTTGCACTATATTTAAGTATATACAATAACTATTAAAGTACAATTTCTCAGTTAATTTCATCTTCAAGTTTAAGATTTAAAAAAAAAAGTTAAAATTTGAAATTGTTTGAAAAAAGGTTTTGTAAATTCTACATCATGTTTGAATTGTAATGAGATCTGTCTGAAAATTAAGAGGACTGGTGTCACAAACAATTTATTTCAATTCCAAACAGCAAAGTACAAGGTTTCCCCTTCAAAGTACCCCCCCTCATGTGTAATGCATTTTTCCATCTTTCTCTGCTCTGTTATGCACGGCTTCTTGGATGCCCCTCAGCTACATCATTATGGCCCTCTCGACAGCTTCCATGCCTTCAAAATGAGTCCTCTTGATGATCCACTTGAGCTTGGGATAAAAGAAAGTCTCACAGAGCAAGATCAGGTAAATAAGGAGGTTGTTCGAATATGGTGATGTTCTTTTTGACCAGATATTGCCGGATGCTCAGGATGTTATAAGCAGTTGCATTGTTGTGGTGAAGCAGTCATGATAAGATTAGAGTTATATACTCCCAATCTATCATGTTAGATGATAACACAATCTGCTTATGTCTCTTTTGGCCATAGCTCACACAGCGCACACAATCCTGTAACTTTTCAGACAGACCTTGTATATTTAGAAAAATATGTACTTATATAGTTTCTTTAAATACTCCAACATTGTTTCTATTGAGTTTCATTTCTTTTCTTTGCTTCCTCCAGTGTGTTTTGGCAGCTATAATTATTGTAGCATTGAAAGGAATGTTCAAGCAATTCACAGAACTACGAAGGCTTTGGGGCATTTCTAAAATTGATTTTGTAAGTATCTGGAATGAGATTTTAAATATACTTTAATTTCATGCACTTTGACTAAATGCCTTGGATTTAATCCTTAGTAGAAATGTATAGAAATAAAAGTAATTCAACCCAACGAAACATGAGAAATATTAGCTGTTGGCAACTTGTAAATATTCTAGTCAAAGTGTTCTTTATTCTAATTTTCTATATTTACTTGAAATGAAAGTTTAAGCCTTACAAAACATAATTCCTATACTTTTTTCATGTTATACTTGATTTTGTGCTTGATTCAATAGTGGGTCCAGGTTTACAGCCATATCGCATTTAAACATTGGTTCTCATACAGTCATTGAAGTAACGTCGATCCTGGTCAGCACTCAAACGGGTGAGCACATGGAAATATCAGGCACTGTAAGTTTGGATGTGTGGGTTGTATAATGGATAATGACTTGGAATTGGAAATTAGAGAGCCGAGTTCCAGTTGCATTTGTTATATTCGTTTATGCACAAATACTATTGGGAAAGTTATGCATCTACCTCAGCTATGGGTTAATTAGTATGACTTGTATCAGCAAATCATTATTATCTCAAAAAATTTGATACAATCTAAAAATATTTTCTGGTTTTAAATAACCTAAAAAAGGTTGATAAACCATAAAAAACAAATGAATCCCTCAATCAGTACTATGTGCTGCTATTTCTATTTAGTATATACACTGAAAAAGTTCAAAGCTCTCTTCTAATAACCTGGCCTTTTGGAATTGCAGTTTCCTTTCAGTAAGGTGTATGTTTTAATTTAAAAATAAAGGCTTATAACAGTATTGTACAGATTTTAAATGATTGGCTTTTGGAAGAGAACTTGTATTCTTTCTTGAAAGTCTTTAAAGAAAATATATAGTTGTATTTAGAGAAAATACCTCGTAATCTTCTCTCTCACATCTGAAATTTTTCTTTTTTTTCTTTTTTATTTTTTTACAATAATATTCATTCTGTACAAGGTCCAAAGGCCACTCAAGGTAGAATGTTACAGAATAAGAGGTAAGGGGCACAGTTTATGAGGATATCTGGGGAAGATAACTGTTAACCCCAAACATGAACAGGTTAAGATTGTAGTGATTCATGTTTATAGATACAATACTAATGTTCCTTTGAACTGTTTTTATCTTGTATTTAATTTTAGTTTTGTCATCTCAGTGGTGGCATAAAGAATAAACATCAGCCAATATCAGTTCAGGGAGTCCATGGGCCATTGAAGAAATTAAAAATGAAATAAACACTGAATTTGATCAGTGACCATAGGACAGTGGATCAAATGTCTTATTGGATTCTTATTGACTTTTTTTTATGTTCAGCAAAATCATTAATCGAATAAGCATCAAACGCAGAAGCAGGAAAATGGTTTACGTTTAATGAACTGTACCAGTTATTTTTTGTTAAGAAACACTCCTTTTGAAATAACTATATTTACATTTTTTTGAAAGATAAAATATTGTAAGATTCTTGTAAAAATATTAAAATATTCTTTCTGTAGGCTATATGGTTGGTTGCATTCCTTGGTACTGCATTGTTGGATGTGGACTATGGGCTTGGAGTTGGTGTAGGGTTTTCCCTTATCACTGTCCTTGGTCGTTCTTCAAGGTAAGTTATAATCCTTCACTTATTAACACCTCATGCTGCTTTTGTCCCTATTAACTTATCCAAATAAATAATAAATTATCCAAATGGCAACACTTCTAATTGACATTAATTAATGTCAATATCATTTTTGCAGCTGAGATATTTTTCATAATACATTTTTCCCCTCCTAAAGCACTATATTTTAATTTGTAACTTTCACTATTTTCTTCAAAGCATTAGAAATTACCATTTGAAACATTAAAAATTACACAATAGGAAGATAAAATTGATGTCATTTCTGTTTATTAAACTGTTTAAAATTTTTAATTACTATAATTCATTAACAATAGACTTTATACTGAGAAGTCTTAGCATTCAAAAATTTGACATTTTAATATTTCAATGAGAATATTCTCCAAATGGATATTAATAGATTTAAATCATTTTTTTTAATTAGCCTATAACCCTTTTAAGAGATTTCAATTCTTTAATCCCTGGAGTCCTGACCAAATTGTTAAATATATGAATGTGATATTATTGCAGTTAAATTGATATATCTAAAAAAAAAATATTGAAAATCAAGTATTACAAGTTGATTTATCTGAAAATAAACCTATTCACTTACAAATGATACCAAATTCAGTCTCCTTGATATTACTGTTTATGAGATTTCGTTTTTGAAACTCTAAAAAATTTGTTAAAATTTCTTAATTTCCAGTGTCTCTAGTTGATCATGTGACTAGTGTTAATACTGTATTTAAATACAATGCTACACAATTAAGGGCACATTCAGGCACTTTCAAACTGTAAGCATGTGAATCTTGCAGGTACGTTTAAAGTTAATGAAATGTCATCTTGATAAAATATGCAAAAATAATAGTTTAAGTTAAATCTTGAATATTTTTATCCCTATCCTTCTTAATAAATTGAATAAATAATTGTAAATAAATATTGTTCTCCTTTTTTTTTCTTCTTCAGACCCTACTCTTGTTTGCTCGGTCAGATGCCCAATACTGACATCTACAGAGATATTTCTGTGTATAGATCGGTTAGTATATTTATCTGTAGAAATATAAACAATTTTTTTAACATATCATTTACTAATAATCAAGTTTGTTCTTTTTATTCTGATATTCACTATGCAAAACATTTACTTGTTTCGGTTTCCCAAAGAAACACAAGCACAGACTTATTGGTTAAATATTTTCTCGGTATTTCACTAGAAATCTTAGGTCTTTAATTACTGACAAATATATATATAAGCAATTAAAGGCCTACATGCAGATTGTGTAATGATTATCAGCCTAGAACAAAAAAATCAATGAGCCGAGTTCAAATTCCTGTCATCCATTACATTTACTTTTGTGCAAATACCCTTGTGAAAGGTATGAATCAATTTCTTCATTCTCTACCTCCAACTATAGGTTAAATAGTTGGGCAGACTGGGCTCTTCAATCTTGGTTAGCAACCATTGTAGAAGGAGGACAACTCAAAGCGGATTGGTCATGGAGTTAGTAAAACTAAAAAACTTAATAAGCTGTAGCCCTATACACTCAGTGGAATCTATGGGACTTAAGCAAGTGATATATTTGTTAAACCAAAGGTAAATTATATGTGAATAAAGACAAAAGGAAAACTTATCTTAGCCGATGCATTTTGTCCTCTGAAGGACTTTATTAAGACAAATGCAAGGATTTTATTTTGTAACATATTATTGGTTTTGTAAATCTTTTAAATTTAAGAATGCTCATAAATATTCATTAGATGAGCCAAAAAGTCTAGGTAATTTTTTTTAATGCAAATTATATTTAAAATATTTTAGTTTTAGGCTTAATTTCTGTGTGATATATTTTAAATAACATGAGTTTCTGAATTTAACCGTTTTCTTTTAAATTTTTAAAACATTTTTATAGTCATGTATGTTATCTTGGGAAAGTAGTAATTCTTTCAGGAATGGAGAGTGAAGATTTATATTTTGATAAGATTTGATAACGGCACTTTCATCTAAGTAAGTTTACTGTAAGGCTGCAAATTCTTTTCTTTTTTTCTTTTTTTTTTTTTAAGTTAATCATGATTTGGTACAGATTCCTTTTCTTATCTGTGAATTGCATTGTTTCTTTGGAAGGATATTAGAGCAGTTTTTTTATTGCCTTTTCCAAAGTTCTGCATCTCCTGGACTAGCTGCTACCCAACGCTAAAGAGTCCTCTCTACTCTGCCATTTAAACCATAGTGGGAAGAAGTAAAGGAAACATGTGTTGTGCAAAAGCTTTAACATGAACCTAGCAGACTAATCTGAGATTTGAATTTAGCTTACTGATAACAATTACATCTCAGACACACACACACACACACACACACACACACACACACACAAGTTTGTCATGTGGGCCTTGCTTGTCTTGTTTATTTTATATACAAGAAAGCTAGATAGATATAGTGTGGACATAAGGATCAACACTTCATGATGAATGTCAGTTACACACTTCAACATGATCGTTAAAAGAAGCTAAAGTTGGTATGACCAAGATGGAAAAATATATATAATATCACTCCATTTTGTCTTGCTTGGTAGTTAGTCATTGAAGAACTAAAAAAACATTTTGCTTGCTGCCCAGGTGAATGATGCCGTAACTATAATAAATTGAGTATATTAATTTCAAATCTGTACTCAGATTTGTCTCAGATTTTGAGATACAGGTGCAGTACCAAATTTCTGGCACCCTTTGTTTCAGAACCACAAAATCCAATAAAGTTCTGTACAATGAACATGAATGAATCCCATGCCACTACCTCAAATGGATATTATGGATGTATTTACCTTGAATAAAGATTTATCTTGCAGACATTTTAAATATCTCTCATGTTAGGGCAATACTGACTGCATATTTAGACTAAAACATATACTTTTATACCAGTGGTAAACTCTTTGTTGCTTAGTTCCATCGAGCAAAGGGGAAAGAAGAAATGGAGCCTTGCCCTTTTCTGTGTATAAATGTGAACAAAATTTAAACTTTGTTCATTACATTTATTTTGAATATATATATATTTTTTTTTTCATCCAAAGCAAGGCAATAAAACCACTAAAATGCAAGGGGTTACTGAACATTACAGAATGTGAGAAAAAAAAACGCTATTAAGCAGTGAGAACAAAAAAGAACAGGAATTAAGACAGACGATAACAATTGACATTCTATTTAAATTTTTGAAGATCAAAGTTGACTTGGGAAGCAGGAAGCCAGAAGAGAGTTCTACAAGCAAGAATTGCAATAGAAGAAACTATTGGCATAGAACTTACCGTTCCATCTAGCCACTTCAACTGTAAAATGATGAGACTTTACTGCCAATTTAGTAATACACTTAAATTCATAATGTTTAGGTACCATAAAGGAAAGTTCATCAGAACAATAACTATGAAAATATTTATAGAAATGTTAGAGGGAAGCTACGTTACAGAAGTGGGAAAGTGACATATACTTTTCAGTCTACAATTAATGATTTATCAGAAATCTATTGTTATTTACTCTTAATTAGGTAAAACCAAAAATGTTAAGTTTTGTTTCAACAAATAATGATTTGATGAAAGATTGAAATTCCTTTTTCCATTTTCAAAACATTCTTTTTTCTTGTTCTTTGTAGGCTTCAGAAATTCCTGGAATTAAGATTTTTCGCTTTGATTCTTCACTCTACTTTGCAAATTGTGAGAATTTCCGCAGCCGTTTGTATGAGCTAACAGGTGTAAATCCACGTAAATTAAAGAAAAAGCAACAAAAGGCAGAAAAGAAAAAGAAAAAAATGGTAAGGAAAGACATAGGTTTTTTTTTTTCCCCCTATTTTTTTTATCTCCTCCAAGTCCAAATTTATACACACATCTTCATTTCTTGTTTATATTGTTCCTGCAAGTGGCGGGTGAATCTGTGACTCAAACACAGAGAAAGATTTCAAAACAGATGCACCACCAATGAGAGAAAAATATCTCACTCCAACACCATAAATTGTGGAACATTGTTTTTTGTACATCATAGTCACTTGCAAGCTTCTCTTAACAACTACTGACAGCAAAACTGTCTGTCTCTTCAAGCAAATCTTTAAATGCACATTGAATTCATGAATATTCATCAGTTGATGCTATTATAAGGATTGCAATTGCACATGCACACTTCTCACATTGCAAATGACCGTCTACATGCTAAGCATCATGTTCATTTAGCTTCAGGTAATGTGTATAAAGGTAACATTTCTGTTCATTTAGTATATTAACAGAGTATGAAATATTTTTTCTTTATATGAAATGCAGTTAAGATTTATTTTCCTTGTACTGTGGCTTTACAGTGTTCCTGCAGTCTTATCTTAAGGGGACGGCCTGTTTCTCCTTTATATTTCTTACCACAGATGGCATACACAGTTCTTAATCATGTTCTCCTCTATGAGAGGTCTTACTCAAAAGAGGTGTCTACAAAGTGTTGAACCACTTTTGAAGGTCATCCTAATGTTATATGGACCACAGATCTTTTGTATTTTTTCTGATAATCCCTTCACATAGGGTAGGAAGACCGAGGCTGTTTTCTGAGTGTTATCATCCTCTTGCACCCTTCTATCCCAATTTGTTAGTGCTGCTTCCATGTATCCAGGGTAGTTGTTACATTGTAGGGTAATGCTTAAGATAAGACTGCAAGAACACTGTAAAGCCATAACAGAAGTGTCATGGCATGTGAAACTAGAACAATCTACCCAGGGAGAGGAAATAAAGGTTTCAGTTTGAAATTCCAATCACCTGAAGAAGGCCAAAGCATACAACACTGTGAATGCAACAAAGATGAGGACAAGAGTCCAAACAATGTAAATTGTATGAATAATGTATTTTTATATTTAAAAAAATTACCAACAATGGATATTTATAGCAGAATTACCAATAATACATTTTATTTGTAGTTAACGGTATACAATTGCATTCAAAATATATTTAGCTGAAGCTATAAAATTTTGTTTAAAATATTTAGATTTCTGCATTAAATAACCCATAGAGGTTGATATACCACTAAACAAAGTCAACCAAATTTCAGTTGATATCTTCTAAGACCATTCATTTCAGCTTATTCCTTTTGTTAAGAAAAAAAAGTTGAATTTTTGTAAGTCAAATTTTGTTTGTCTTTCTCTTACAGGTAGAATCAGGCAGTGCCAATGGATTGCATGACATACCCAGTACCACTGTCAAAGCAATCATTATTGATTGCTCAAGTTGGAGCTATTTGGATTCTGTTGGTGTGAAAGTTTTGTCACAGGTAAATGTTATTTTTTTTATTATTTTTTAACTATATATGTATAATGGTAATGACAATATTAGCTCTTTCATTAAACATACAGCATTCACCAACCAGTTAGTGTTGCTTTCGGTTGAAATCTTTTCTCTTAAAACAATTTTTCAGAGAAATAAGAGGCTGTTATAACTCTTTCCAGTATTGATGGGTGTTTTCTTCCTAACCTTTTATTAGAAGTAGTGTGGATAGTCAGTCTCTTGACTATGTCATTATTTGCACTACGAGTTACATGTGCTATCCATTTTAGTTGTTGCTGCTGTTGAAAGTCATCAAGTGATGTGGTTTTTGTTATCTGGTACAGTTCTTTGTAATTCGGTAATGCCAATCCAAGAAGTTGAAAGGTCAGTAATTGTAATATTGGCCGTTTCCCTATAAGGAAACAGTTGGCATTCATTGACTTAGCAGTCAGTACTATTTTCAGTTGAAAAATATCTCTGAATCTATTTTCCTGAATTCTTCAGGAAAATAGGTTTCTCAAGTTCAGTAGCTTTTAATGCACTTTCTGGTAATGATGAGAGCATCCTACCTTGCCTTTTGTTTAGGATAGTGTGGAATGTCAACATTTTGATTGTCATTATTCTCTGTTGAAAGTCCTCAAATGATGTGGTTTCTGTTATCTGGTACAGTTCTTTGTGTAACAAATTCAGTAATGCCAACATGAAGTTCGATAAAGGATAGTCCTCACTGAGGCTTACATGCTTCACTCACTCAGTCATTTTTAACCATGGATCAGAGAAAGAGGTAGTATATAGCCATTAGTTTAGATATTTCTGGACGAGTTTGGTGTCATGCATGGCACCCATATGAAAATCTTGATCTGATGAGGATATTTAAGAACATGACACTAATATTTTGGTTTTGTAGCAGCTTGCAGTGTTGGGCAAAATTACCCCTAGTGCAAGTTATTCTATGTTCAATTTCCTCAGCTCTTATTCTAAATTTGTTCTAAATTCTTCACATATACTCCACAAAATTCATTTTCAATGCATTATATAAGTTATTCAATAGCAGTAAACTAACTCTGAGACCCAAATCTTAATAGTGTTGGTATTGTAATGCTTAACTGTGTTGCTACAACCATTATATCTACTAATATTTATAGCTAATATGATTACTTACTTTAGTTAGTTTAGTTCTACTTAGTAACTTTTTTGTAGTGTAAAGAAACTACCCATTAGATCCACAATTTGCACTAACATTTTGGTTACCAATGAATTTGTTTCTGAAACTGACTTTGATGTAGATCCTGACACTTGTGAATTGAAAGTGTTAATGGACTCATTGATATAGGATTCAAATTTCTTGATAGATATCAACGCCCAAAACTTTAACATGTTGGACATAATAAACTTTGTTTTGCCAAGTGTTTTTAAACACAATAGAATGCAGAGATGAATAAAACTGTAGTCAAAGCAATGGTGAGAACCTGTTTAAAAACTCAAAATGAAATATTGTTATGGTCCAATATCCTCGCACCACAGTTATGGTCCAAGGTTAGAACCAAGGAAGAACAACACGAACACAAGAGTAGAATAACAAAGATATATTACAACAGAAATATAGTACAAGAAGTTGAAGGTGTTAGTAATGACGGTCCGTCTGGTTTAGAGTGAACTAATATTGTCTCGACACGTTACACCATTCATTCATTATACATCTTGAGAGGCGCAGTATTTATAGTGTCAGGAAGAGTCCATTATCATTATAGGTAAGTTCCCATAACAAATATTTGCATAGTATTTTTTTTAACCTACTCAGTTATTCCAGAACTATTTTATTTTCCACTTTTTTTTCAACCTGTTTGTTTATTCTAACCCCCTCCTCCTCCCTCCTATTTTTTATTTTTTTTTTTAAAAAACATTTTTCAATGAAGCTTCCAGCCTACACCTTTATTTCAGACTTAACATTATACTGTTTTTAAAAATAAATTTCAGGTCATTTCTGAATATGATGCAGTTGATGTACGGGTGTTGTTGGCACATTGTAAGGCTGGCATTCGTGAGATGTTAGTGAAAGCTGGTTTCTACAATAATGCTGACCGTTATTGTCTCTTCGTTACTATTCATGATGCTGTTCTCTCATTCGTTCATCCAACATTTCGGGTAATCTTTTTTTCCTTTTTTTTTTCTTTTTCGCTCTACATTAATCTTCCTAAAATATCTTCTTACCTTCCTTTCTACCAAATGGTTTTAGTTTTGTTCTTGATTTTATCATAGAAGTATTTGGAAACTTTCCAAGCAAAATCTTAGAACCTTAAAGCTTAAAAGTATAAAAGTAACTGGAATCTACATTGTGCGATGGATAAATTGTTTAAATTACACAAAAAATGAAAATAACACTGACATCTCATTTTAACAGATATATGTACCAAAATTACACAAAAATATCTTGAAATACTAAAGAGCAAATTTATTCGATAAAATCACCATTGGCTTAAACCACAGCCTCAAGACGACTTTGGAATCTCGTGCAACTCTTCTGGACAGTCTCCTTGTTTAAGATGGTGAATGCTGCCATAATCTCCTGCCTTCAGTTCATTTTTGGTGTTATGAGGAGTTTTGTTGGTCTCTTGCACAACTGCACCCTATACATAATAATCAAGGAGGTTGCAGTCTGGGGAGTTAGGCAGCCAGATGTAAGGGGTGATGTGATCACAGAAATTGTCTGACATCCATGACTGGGTTCTCCTGCTTGTGTGGCATAGTGCAGAGTCCTGTTGCTAGACATAAGGTCTCCCAGCAGCCACTCTCTTGACACATGGCAGCACTACCTCCTCAAAGCACCTGATGTAGGCTTTCATGTTGAGTTTGTAGCCTTTACTAAAAAATTCGGGAGTACTTTCCTTAGAATGATCAGAGTGAGTTTTCCAAGCTGCTGTACCTTCATAATCACCATTAGACTTATCCAACTCTTTCCAGATCTCCTGCACTGTCCTCAAATTGACACACAAACACTCTGAAATGTTCATATTGGAGCTTATGGCACAAATGGCAAGCAATACAGCATGCCATTTACAAATTTCTGGTGGAGTGAATTGCATCATGTTGCTCTTTTTCTCAGTGACCCTAGAATACTGTTATCGACAAAATCAAAAACAAACAATGTGCATACACAAAATTAAAAATATGAAGTGGCGACAATTTACCCATCGCACCCTTTATATATGGATTTAATAATTTAATCTTTGCAAATCCTGACATGGCACAAGTTTGTTTTTGCTTGTGTTTGTATATATGATGATCATATTTTTCTCTAAAACAAACTATCAAAAACTTATATATTTTTTACTTTATTTTATTGATACATTAAAACTGATTTTCTATCTGAATTTCTGGGTTTATGGACATGTCATGTTGAAACACTGATTCCCATACAATCACCAAAGTTAAGCAATGTTGAACCTGGTCAGTACCTACATGGGTGATTGCTTGAGAATACCAGGTGCTGTAAGCTTGGATGTGCAGGTGGTGTAATGAATAATGGCTCAGAATTTTTAATTGGAGAGCCAAGTTCTAATTCCAAGTGGATTTGTTATATTCACCTATATGCAAATACCCTTGGGAAAGGAATGAATTCACCTCTTCTACCCAAGCAATGTATCAATTAGTAAGACTTGTATCACTAAACCATTATTATCTCTAAAAATATTCTTACAATCTCAAAGTATTTTCTGGCTTTAAATAGCCTGCAAAGCCATAAAAAACAAATCAATCAATAAAAAAAAAATGAATTTTTTAGATGAGGATTTATCATCATTTACCCTATTTGCATTGAGACTATTATTATTAACTGTTCTATTAGGTTGGGACAAAATTTAATGTTTTTCAATATGTACAAATATCTAAACATTGTTTTTGTAGCATTTTTTGTTTTGATCCAATATTTACTTAAACTGTACCTTGTGTTATCGGAATTTTTGCATAAATTTCCATTTTTATCTTCAGCCACTTGGTTTAGTAAGAGAAGAAAAGAAATCTGAACCAACCACATCACAATTTGAAGATGGTCAACCAGGTGTAAGTTTTCTCCTTTGTTGGTTTTTTTTTTTCTGTAGAGGCAGAAATGTTTTCAGTTTTATTACAAAAAAAAAATATTGTGTATACAATCATATTATAATTCTGCATACCTACACTCCTTGTACATCTGTTACACCCTGCCATTACCTCGGATAAATAAGGGACCATTTCGTTTTGATTGCAAGGAAAGGTAGAAAAAAAAATTATCTGTGACATTTTCAGGTTTTAGTGACATAAAGAAAGCAGAGATAATAAGAAGAGAATGAGAAACAAAGAAAATGCTGTCCAGTGCTTAATATCAACTTCATGGAAAAGGAAAACCTCAATTTTTATTCTTTTCATTTGTACCCTCTTACTTTTTTAAATAATGACCTACATTCATTATTATGATTGTTATTGCAATATTTTGTCAAAGTTGTTCAGCTCTAATCTAATGGTACAAAGAGGAATTTTCACAGGTCTTTTATAGTTATGGAAATTGCAAGGACTGTATTCAGTCATTAAATTAGGAATTATGAGTTACCAGAAAATGCAAAAACCTAGGATAAATAATGAAATTTTTGCAGTTACTGCTCGTCTTCTTTATTCTGCAGATTTGAATGGTAGCACCTGTTAGGGTCCCAGGTATGAGCAAATAGTTACCCCCCACCCAAAAAAAAAAACACTATAAAAGCTTAAAAATAGATTTCTATAGTAAAAATACTAGCAATACATTTGACTCTCGAAAAAAACCCTCTTTACAAAAATACCTTAATGTAACTTGATCTACAAACTGATTTCTTACAAAGTATACATATTCTATTCATACAAACCTATCCTAAAAATTTTGTTAGCATTAAATAACCCATTGAGGTTGATATGCTGTAAAGCAAATAAACCAAACTGATAGATATATGGTTTGACTTTGAGTTGATAAGCTGTAAAAAAACAAATCCGTCAACTGAAATGGGTGGTGAGGTATTAGTTCATTTTTTATTGGAAATTGATTTTATGTTGTATTTCTGTATGTGTTCATTTTATAAGACTAATAAACTTCATTAGAATTTTTTCCATTTAAATATTTTGTGAATTTCAAAATTCATTTTTTATTGGAAATTGATTTTATGTTGTATTTCTGTATGTGCTCATTTTATAAGACTAATAGACTTCATTAGAATTTTTTCCATTTAAATATTTTGTGAATTTCAAAATTTATTTGTAATTGTACATGATAGCAAAATAAATTTTACTATTTTTCTGCTTTTTTTGTAGCAGCAGTTGACAGAGTCAGTGTGAATTGACTTGAAGGAGTTCAACCCTGTTATGATGATGAAAAGAAAAGCTCTACTTGGTTGTTTAATATTCAATTGGTCACAGTTGGCAGACACACACACACACACACAGACAGACATCTTCCTACTTACCTACCTGCAAATATCCCTCTGTAGATCTGTTCGCTTCATTCATATGATGTAAACATTTTGACATTAATTCTGGTTATTTTGACACAAAATAAGAGTAAGAAAATATGAAAGACAGTTAATATATTCAACCCAGAACTGTTACACTGCCGACATTATGTAAGCAATAATTTTATTTACTGATAACAGTAAGAAAATGAAAGAAAATATTTAATTCCTATTTGTTTTATGGTTATAAAAATAAATAATTTAGTTTTAAAGATTTTGTTCTTTAAAAGACACCAAAACTATACTGAAAAGCTTCATTTCTTTTAAAAAAGACATATATATATATATATATATAGAGAGAGAGAGAGAGAGAGAGAGATTTTTTTTCTCCAAATAGATTTATGAAATCTTTATGCATTAATATAAATGTAAAATTTGAAGATGAAATATCTCTGTATGATTTTTTAACTTTATGTATGGAAATTTTGGCAAACTTTGACCTTTGTGCAAGTAAAGGAAACAATTGTCAAAAGGATGATTTTTCCATTGACATTGCTATTATTTTAACTACCTTCACTCTTCAGTAATGTATATGGTTTCAAAAAGAGGTGATTAGAATTTTAATTTAACTTAAACATGTGAAAATGAAATTTATACATTTTTTTGTTCTTGAGAAGTTGCAACAAAAATATTAAACACTATTTGTTGGATTGTTTATTTACAACATTCTAAAAACTAATACAATTGAATATTATGTACCAATTTATAAAGAAATAAAGATAAAAACAATTTTTATTCATAAATTTAAAAACATTTATTAAAATATGTGAACCAACTATAAGGAAAACCTTATTCACCATTTTATAAATTTAGAATCAATTGGAAATCAGCCGATGTTTTGCCAACTATTCCAATAAACAATATAATAAATAGTGTTTATTATTTTTGTTGTCAATTCTCTTTCATCATATGTTTAGGTTTTATTACAATTCTAGTCGTTGCTTTATAAAACAATAAAAGTTGACGGGGAGTTAAAATAATAATAATGTCAAGGGAAAAACCGTCATATTGACACTCCATTTTATTTTATTTATTTTTTTTTTCCAGGCACAAATGTCCAAGTTTGCCAAAAATTTTAACAACATTTTTATGAAATTAAAAAGATTAATGAATAATCCACAGAATCTAAATCTAAATGGCAATTATTTATGATCTCTTAATCTGGGATATATTTTTTAATTTATAAAGTAGCTACTTTTCTCAAAAGTTATGATTTTATTGCTTAAAGAACAGTAATCTACATTTGTTTATAAAATATTTTTTTGTCAGATTTTTAAAGTAAATTTATAAAACTTATTTTAAATAAAATAAAAACAATTTTTCAATGATTTTATTTGTTTGTAAATATATTGGTTTTAGTACTGAGTTTATTCAGTAGACATGTTTGAAAATTTCAAATTTATCATTTTGAAAAAGAAACTTTTTTGTTACACTTTTTTTAATGTCAAGTTATTCCATGATTTATTTTTATCTCTTAAAAATAGTCACTTTTGTATTATGATACAAGAAATAAGAGTAATAATGATTGATCAAGCTGTTAATAATTGATGGTATATAAGACACATTGAAAAAAATCTTCTTATGACTTTAAAATTGAGGCTCAAATATAAGTTAATATTTACACTTGCTTAGGAAGACGACTTTTTTCTTTATTATTCCTTATGTAATAGGCTTATGGCCATATCACGCTGAAACACCAGTTCATGTATGATCATCAAAGTTAAGCAACGTTGAGCCTGGTAAGTACCTAGACTGGTGATCACTTGGGAATACGAGGTGCTGTAAGCTTGGATGTGTGAATGGTGTAATGAAAAATGGCTCAGAATTGGAAATCAGAAAGCCAAGTTTAATTTCTGTTGGGTTTGTTATATTCATTTGTGAAAATACCCTTGAGAAAGATATGAAGCCATATTTCTCCTACCCCACTTATAGGTTAAATATTAGGACTTCAGTATCTGTCTATATTTCTGAGATGAGGTATTATGTTCATTATTTATATTATTTGAACTATTGTCCTCATCTTTGTCGCCATATTTATTACAATGTTTCGGCTGTTGTATGCTCCGACCTTCTTCAGGTGGTTGGAATGTCAATCTGAACCCTTTATTTCGCTCACTGAGATAGACTGTTCTAGTTCCACGTGCCATGTTTAATGGATGTCAGTTATCTCCTGTTAATTTCTCTCTGAAAGTTCTCCACTGCCTTAACTAACGCATTTATCCACTGTGCCATGTGTCCTCAAGATCCAGTGACAGGACCCAAAGAGTGTGAGTTCAATACCCGGTTAAGGCAGTGGAGAACTTTCAGAGGGAAATTAACAGGAGATAACTGATAACTGACATCCATTAAACATGGCATGTGGAACTAGAACAGTCTACCCCAGTGAGCAAAATAAAGGGTTCAGTTCGATATTCCAGCCTCCTGAAGAAGGCCGGAGCATACAACGGCTGAAACATTGTAATAAATATGGCGACAAAGATGAGGACAAGAGTCCGAATAATGTAAATAATGTTATTAGACTTGTATCACTAAATCCTTATTATCTTGCAAAAAACTCCTTACAATCTAAAAATATTTTCACGTCTTAAATAACCTGCAAAAGGTTGATAAACTGTAAAAATCCAATCAATCATATAAATAAATAATATTATTGTATAATAAAAATAAATTCGTTTTTTTATTCTTTTTTGTAGCCAATTTATAAAGAATGTTGGCTAGTGATAGACTTTTTATGTTTTCTGCATAATAGTTCTCAATTTATTCTGGCTTGGCATATGGATCACTTATAACAAATTAAGTATAAGAGAAAAAGAAATTGAACATAGAATAGTTCATGCTAGAGGTAGTTTCACACAATACCGCAAATTGCTACAAAACCTCAACCTGAAACCTCAAGTCATGCTCTTAAATAGCCTCATCAGATTGAGACTTTCACATGGACATCATGCATAGTGCTAAACCCATTCAAAAATATTTAAACTGTCAGATGCATACAACCATTTTCTAAGATCAGTGATGAAAAAAGGCTTTGGGCAAGATGAGGGTCTTGGCAAAGACCATTCTTCTTTGAATTCTGTGGACTAGTGCTACAGATTCATAACCAAAGAACTGTACCAAATAAGAGAAACCACTTCACTTGAAGACTATCAACAGCAGCAACAACTAAAATAGATAGCACATGTAACTCAAAGAGAAAATAATGATATAATCAAGATGTTAGCATTCCAAACTACTTCAAACAAAAGGTTAGGAAGGAAATTCTCATCAATAATGGAAAGAGCTATAACAGCTAATGGATGGGAGAAAACTGTTTTCCTAAAAAAGTGTTAAAAGAAACATTTTATAAAATTAAACCAAAACGGTACTGGCTGCTCAGTCATTGAATGCTAAATGTTTCCTTGTAGGGAAACGGCTAATATTACCATTACTATATCTAACAGGATTGTGTGTCTTATATATCAACAAATATAATAATAATAATAATGCTTTTATAAAATAATGTTGAAAGTGTTTCTATTTGTCATGATTTTTATCTTTTTCTTTTGTTTCTCTTCCTCTTGTATTCTTGGAATCCATTACTTGCTGTAGTTAGTTTTTGAAGTTAATCTTACTAACCATTGCTAGTGAGTTTGGCCTATATAAAATGCTTCACCATTTTAGCAAATTGTGTTTTAACATGTACATTAATATAATTGATTTTCTTCTAAAGATGTTAATTCTAAAAGGTCTTTCTAATTTTACATCTGATCACATATTTATTTTTTTTCACATCATTTATGTCTATTGTCTGCATCTTTGCTGTTATTATCATGTTTCAGCCGTTGAGCTCTCCGGCCTTCTTCGGTTCCCTGTTGATTTGGTTAACCTTCAAGGAATTTAAAACTTGACTCTTTATCTGTAAATTATTCCTCTGTCCATGTTTACCCCCATAGATTAAATAAAGGATTCAGTTTGAAATTTGTTGAAGGTTACTCGAATTGACAAATAACTGAAGAAAGCCAGATAGTACAATAGTCGAAAAGTAATAATGGCAACAAAAACGAGGAGAGGTTATCTGTTCAGTACACTATTAGAAATGATGCTGCAGAGACATTAAAGCTATCTGAAACTGATTGACATAAGCCCATTACAAGTTTAGCATGCCTGAAACAGTGTTTATTTGCAATTTAGTTAGCAATCAGCTCATTTAACAATCAGATGGTTTGAATGGAACTCTGTCGTTAAATGAGGAGTGGTTGTATGTAGTAACTTCTACAGTACCACAATTGTATAAATATGAGATCCAATAATGGAATAAAATATCTTCTATGCATTTGATATATGGTATCTATATAGATACATGATAATGAATATAATCATAAATTCTGAATGAATTTTAATTTTTTCTTAATTAAGCGATACTAACTGCTATGCAGTTTTAATATATAGCATATGCTATATATTTAGCTATTATCCCAGATGTAGTTTTTCGTATAACAATACATTTTATCTGTTAACATATCGGTTATTTTACAATTGCACCCTGGCTTTTATTTTTGCTTTTGTTCTTTTTTTTGTGTTGTATCCCTTCAGGATGTGGGCGATCATAATTCTCCACAACTTCCTGTCCTTTGCAACTCTTCGCAATGTCTGTCTTTTTGCTATCTTTCCTAATCCCTGTCTGCCAATCTTTTACACAAATTCGTTAGATAGGCTATTTGCTGCTTTTTTTTTTGTCCCTCTTGCCTTCAGTCTGTCCTGTGAGTATCAAATTTTCCAATCCCTCTTTCTTCATTATGTGCCATAGAATTTTCACTTATCCTTTGTTACAACTTGACTAGCAGATATGACAGGTGATATATCTGCTAGTTTATGCTCCTATGTACAACAGCATCATTGCTTTATCTCTAATAAATTTTATGTAACCCAAAATGAAGATCCCCCCGGCTGTCGATTGGTTTTATCTACAGTGAAATTAATATCTACCATTTTGTACAGTTTGTAAATAAACATGAATGTCAAATCAAACACATGTACCCACTAAAATAATAGTCATAGTCATAAGAAATGTTGGATTAAAAAATCCATTAATTGCTTAAATTACTAGTTATTATGTAATTTTTCCTTACTGGCTTTTATCTTTAAAATAACCCTTTATTATATATAAAAAGATAGATGAGAAACCACTCTTTTTTCTTTTTTTTTTCTTTTCTTTTTTTTCACAAAGTACAGTTGCATTACAATACATATAATCATATCTATGAGGAGTGCTGAAAAAGGTCCCACTGAGCAAAAAGCTTAAACAAAAAACAAGTGATGTTTGGTCATTTGGTTAGATTTTGGGAAATGGGCTGGGCTAAGAAATTTTCAGTACTCTCTCTCTCTCTCTTATATATATATATAGAGAGAGAGAGTGTCAGTGTATCAAGACGTGAGTTTATAACCCACCTCCCTCCACCCTCTGACCTCATTTTTCTATTTTAGCATAGCTCTAACTTTTAATTGATTAATCCAGGCATGTCCACAAGTATATGTTTTAATTCTGACATTAGGCTTACCCCCCCCTTTTTAATTTTCAAAAGAGGTAATGATTTGTTTTCAGATTTCCCAAATAAATCATTTGTATTATATGTAATCTATCATCGCCCGATGAGGAACAATTAAAGTTCCAAAACATAAAAGTTTTTGCGTACTGACATAAAATATTTTTATTGCAATCTATTATAATAAAAATATTTTAATAACAAATACATATACATATATTGGACTCTCCCATCATTTTTAACATATGAAGGTACAGCACTCAGTTCTTCAAACCGTCCAGCCAGACGACTTGTGCATATGATCTGATTATGGTAGTGAAGGCTCATGCAGAACCAACCACACTCTTTAAAGAGCTGAATACAGAGAACTGGTGTACATAGTGTACCACTCAGATTTTGAATTCAAAATTGTCCTTCTCCTAGTCTGTCTTGCTATTTACCCATAGTTGGAGGGAAAAGAGACCATACTTTTCCCTAGTGAAATAATAGTGAATATAAATGAGCTGAACTGGAATTCAAACTCTGCTCTCTGAACCACTATTCATTACTCTACTGTGCCTCCATATTTAGTGTCTCATATTGAGTGCTGGTGGCTAATAAAATAGTGCCTGATGTATAATAACAGAGCTAAAATTTATAATAATAAATAAACAGACCACTTTAATAATAATAATAAAACAGATAATAATAAATAAACAGACCACTTTAAGCTGGATCATCAGACATCACTTCCTTTTCGAAGTGATGTCTGATGATCCAGCGTCCTTTAAAAGGTCTCTGGTGAAATAAACTATTACAATGGAGCCTTAAAGAGGTCTGTTTTTCTTTAAATTATTCGCTCTGAATTTACATTGAGCTCTCAGGATTTCATCCTCTTTGGGACTACCCATATGGATTACCAAGTTTTTTGTAACGTAACTATATATATATATATATATATATATATATATTCTGTTATTGTGCTTTGCTCTTTCAATTTTTTCACCTCCCAGTTTCATGAACATTTTTGAACAATTTACCATTGTCGTAACAAATACACTCTTGCCTGAGATTACTGGTTGAAGAGAGACAACTCTATTACAGTAAAAAATGTTAAAACAAAAATATGCAAATACACTCTGCATAACACACGCATATGATGTCAAGTATGGCCATTGCAAGATATTGTATGGCTCTTTAAACTAGCTAAAATTTTAAACTCGCCTAGAATAACAATACATTCCAAATATTTGTAACAGTTTTTCTTTGCTTTTAATACTTTAGT